AAAAATATTACATCAGTTACTTTTTGCGCTTTTCTTATTTTACTTAAAACATCAACTTAATTCTAGACTTTTTTCATAATTGAGTTTTAATTTGTAATGTTGAATTAACACTGAAAAAAAAATATTAGCAGACAAAAAGAAAATATTTCTTTATTGAAATATATGTTAATATTTCAATAAAGAAATTTTAGATCGATTTTTATAAATATAAATTTATATCAATCAATCTAAATTTTTTTCTTTTCCGCCACCTTTTCAAAATGAAACGCATTTTTAGAAGTTTGACAAAATGCCATCAATTGAAGTTTCAGTCGCTCCATCGTATTTAATAGAAGAAGCTGTTAATAAAAAAGAATTAGAAAAAAAAACACAAAAAAAAAACACAAGGAGAAACTTTTGAATATATAAAAAATGAGAATAAAAAAGTTTTACATATCTTATAAAGGTATACCTTTCACTACACCATATAAATTAGTGCTCTTAAAGCATATTTCCACCTTTCCCCTTCATATTCATGGAGGTCACAAAATTGTTGGAAAATATTCTAAATTTTAATAGATAAGAAAACTGATATTAATTGTGCGAGAACTAATATTAATTTTTTTTTTTAATTCAAATTGAACTCATTATCAAACAATTTTTTTGCTAAATAATTTAATCCTTAAAATTCCTGAATAATTAAAAATTATTTTGATTACCTCAGCATTTTAAAGATATTCCATCAATTGCAATTGATTCACCTAAAAAACAAAACAAGTAAAGCTAATATTATTGTTTGAAATTTTAATTATCTTTATACAAATACTCATCATATTTTTAAAGTGACTGATAAAAATGGATTCAATTAAAATCACTTCATTTGTATTAAAAAATTAATATTAAAGCCTTAATCATACATTATACAATAGTATTTTGTAATACAATCTAAATAGTTGTTGCGATATGTAACTTTTTTATCCAAAATTTAGCTTCTGTAAGCTTTAGAAATTTTTGAAAAAAATTATTGATTAATTTGGAGCTACGGGTACTAATGTTTTTATATTGTTGTAATGTTTGTATTCATTCCCTGTTAGTTTCTGTAAGTCAAAATTTTAAAGTGTTTCCATAATAAATTCTGTTATATCTGAAATTTAGTGTTAGTCTGAATAATTTAATTTCTAAAATCTGTTTTGCATTGCCTGTCTTATAACATCTTTTCTTGGAACAAAAACCATGTGGTTTAAAAGTGAGCTAGAAGCTTTCAACAATGAAGAAAATATTGCATTCGCTAATCCTAAAAATATATTAAACCTGTCAGCAAAATCAGCTGTCAATAATCCAAGTATTAACATCATTAAAAATTCATCTTTGCTGCATTACATTTATTTTGGTCCAATTAGTTAAGGATTTTTTTAAATTTCAAAAAACAGAAGTAAATATTTTTTTAATATCACTTTATCTTTTTTGATTAATGGTGATACTGCACTAACACATTGACAGATGTAAGGCCAGTATAAAAGTCGCAAGATCTATTATTTTTAAAATAAATGTTTGTATACAAGTAAATTGCAATAACACGATTTGTTTGGATTATGTTTATATACAAGTTTGTCTGTTTTCATAGTAATAACTGATGTGGTTGAAGTTAATTTTTCAAATAAATCTTTATTTTTTTATTTCGTGCTGAAGTTCTTTTTTAAAGTTATCAATTTCCTTTTTTAATTCTTGATGCTCTATTAAAAAACAACGCTTAGCATTAAATTCAACATAATTTAATGAATCATTTTTTGAAAAAGCTGTATTATATTTACATTTAATAATATCAGTCTTTGAGCATTGTAGCCCAAGTTAAACGAAAAACATCGATTTTTAAACGATAATGTTCTTTCAGGAAAATCGTCTGAACATGTTTTCGATCTCTTGAAAATTCTATATGATATAAGTTCAGTATTTACATTTTTTTTCCATTATAAATCTCTATAACTTTAATCGTTGAAATAATGTTTACGATTTTACTTCCATTTCTGCGCGCGCATAAATTTTATATCGTTCTTTTTGTCGACAATGATTGAAATAATGACGTTGAAATAACGTTAAATAATCAACGTTTAATCTGTAACGTTGATTTAACGTTGAAATAACGTTAAATAATCAACGTTTAATTGGTAACGTTGATTTAACGTTGTGACATAGTTGAACAACGTTGAAACAACGCTTCAACCGAATTTCAACGTTGAAACAACGTAATAATGCCGGCTGGGTTATCTGAAAATTATATCCACTTTTTAGTAGGTATTTTTTTGTAGAACAACTTAGTAGGTCGAGATATTTGTAGATCTAACTACCTGACAAGGTATTATTTCTCAGCGTTCATAAATAATGACCATATAAAGTTTGAGCCCCCCTCAATTTGAGGGGGTTGCAATTAAGGTTGAAATTTGTCGATTGGACAAACCCATATCTTTGTAAGCAACACTTTTTGCTTTTCTTTCTCATTTAACACCTTTCCGCGTAGCATTGTAATAATTAAATAACAAGAGTACACAAAACTTTCATATAAAACAAACAAATTAAAAAATCTTACTCAAACTTCAATTAACTCTTATTAAGTGTTTAAAACAAACTAATGGAATAACTTTAATTAACTCTTATTAAGTGTTTAAAACAAACTAATGGAATAACTTTAATTAACTCTTATTAAGTGTTTAAAACAAACTAATGGAATAACTTTAATTAACTCTTATTAAGTGTTTAAAACAAACTAATGGAATAACTTTAATTAACTCTTATTAAGTGTTTAAAACAAACTAATGGAATAACTTTAATTAACTTTTATTAAGTGTTTAAAACAAACTAATGGAATAACTTTAATTAACTCTTATTAAGTGTTTAAAACAAACTAATGGAATAACTTTAATTAACTCTTATTAAGTGTTTAAAACAAACTAATGGAATAACTTTAATTAACTCTTATTAAGTGTTTAAAACAAACTAATGGAATAACTTTAATTAACTCTTATTAAGTGTTTAAAACAAACTAATGGAATAACTTTAATTAACTCTTATTAAGTGTTTAAAACAAACTAATGGAACTATGGAAATTTCGCCTCTATTTACCAATTTTAGAAACTAGAAAATATAGTTTCAATTGTTTTAAAAACGAATAAAATTGTCATAAACACATCTGTTTGCAATAGGTCTGATAAAGGAAATTTTTTTGGTTAATTTTATAAATGTGTTCGGCGTGAAGTTTGCGATTGCTATTTTTTTTTTTTTTCAAAATCCGGTTTTTATAAAAAAACAGTTTACTGTATTTTTTTTCGATTCCTCCGAACTAATTCATGACTAAGAGAAAATTACATAAGTCTGGATATTTTTATTCAAAAAACAGTTTTCTTTGTTGAATTTTAATCAAAAAATGTTTTATCTTCAGCGAGAAACAACTTTTTTCTTCTTTCACAAAATTTATATATAAATTATATAAATTAAATAAAAAGCAAGACTTTCAAAAATGTTAAAACTCACTGTGTAACTAGCAAAAAGTGATAAAAACATGGACTGCAAAAATATAGCACATGCAAATGCATTTTTACTTGTGAAAATATGCCTTGAAAATGCCATGTGAAAATATGCTTTGGAGGACATCATCAAAACAAAGTTTGCTGAGATTAAAAGTAAATAAAATTGAAAGTAATAAAGATTGATTGAATTTTTTACCCCTGAAAATCCCGCACTTAAAAGGCTAAAAATTTAAAAAAATTTGAAATAAACATTTCTTTATTAATTAATAATTGCTTACTTGTTTCGGTTAAAAAGTATTTAAAATATTAAAATTAAACATTTTTTTCAGAGAAGTAAGCAAAATCCTATATCCGCTTCGCGACGCATAGTGAAGCGGAAGGAAAAGAAAGTTAAGCAATTCTAAGTAATTAGTAATAGATTAGATCAGTGGTGGTCAGGTGGCGGAGGTGGAGGTTTCAAAGTCAAATAACTAATGAGCCCAAATTTAATGCAGCATGTTATTTGAATAAGAAGTAATTAAATACGCGTTTGCCTCAGAACCTAGAGATCCGTTGTTAAACGCCTCTGGACAATTTTTATTGCATCGGTAAGAAAGGAGGCGTAAATTTTTTTTCAAATGCTCTTCCGTGGTGCTCTGTGGTAAGACTCTGTGGTAATATATTTTATATTTAAATAGTTATTCGTAAAGACTTCTTTAAGCACCTAAAAAAAATTGGGTGTTTAAAAATGATATAAAATTTTAATAAATTTGAAAATGCGATTTTTCCGCCTTTTAAAATTGACCTCCTTCTACCCTTACTAGATGGTCTGCATTCACTAAACTAAAAAAACCTAAAAATCGTCCCCCCTCTTCTTACTAGATAGTATGGATACGCCCCTTGTTTTGCTCCACAAAGCATTATATGATAAGAAAGATAGATTGTCATCCTTTTATCAACTAACATAAATAAAAATTTAACATTAATAGAAACTTAAAAATTCAAACTAGATTTAGTCAGAAAATTTTTAAAGAAAATATTACTTCTCAGGAAAAGGTTCAAATATTATTGTCTCTTGAAAATCAGCCAAATTTTTTGGGATTTTTTGGACTCTCTACGCGCTGATTAGGGGTATGCAAAACCGGATATCCGTTCATGTTTTTTGAAATCGGATTCGGATTTAACCAAACCGGATCCGATACCCGGTTTTAAAATCTGTAGTTAAAAATTCCAAATATGGATGAGCATAACAGGTAATCCGGAATAGACTAATCACCCCTAGTTAAAACTTCCAACTCGGAAGTTTTAACTAGGGGTAAGAAAAACCGGATATCGGATCCGGTTCGGTTAAATCTAAATCCGATTTCAAAAAAACGGATCAAATATCCAGTTTTGCTCACCCCTAGCCCTGGTTAGACCAAACGTACCAAATTATTTATGCAAATTGCGGCATGTTTTGCAACTCAGTAATAACTCACGTGTTATTTTACCCATGTGCGTAATTTGTGCGTTATTATATAACATATAATTAAACTTCATATGGCATATAATATTTATATTATATACCATATTTTCAGTCTCGGACTCTCAATGTCATTCTCAGTCATGGTCTCTCATCAAGTCTTTCTTGTCTTTTGTCATACTTTTTAACAACAAATTTAAAGGTACCACAATATTGAAATATTTCAAGTTTTATTTATTACAAATTAATTCAAAAATAGTTAGTTTTTTTTTTATATTTAAATAGTTATTCATAAATGATGTATTTATGTTGTAATGATAAATATAACCAAAAATATAGAAACATAGCAAGAAAATTTTAGGCATTAGCCAAAGCCTAAAAAAAAAAAGCAAAAATAAAAAAAAAATAAACAAAAAAAAAAGGTGTAAAGGAATACATTGTTGGTCTAAACCCATTACCACATATCTCAAAAAATACAATTTTGTGGTTTCAATGCTTTTAAATTGTAATTTGTCATATGTATCTTCTGTTAAAACTAAAAAATTTAAAGAATTAAAAAAAAAAAAAAGTAATTCTGAGTTGTATTGAATTTTGAATTTTTATAATAATGAATAAATAAATGATAGATATAATGTTAAAAATAAATAAATTAGTCTTCAATCATAGTATCATTTCAGTTTTTAGCTTTGCCTGAGAGCTTTAATTTTTTGAAATATGTGGTAACAACTTTTAACCAACAATATTTTTTGCCCATTTTAGCTCAAGATGTTATGTTTTCTACCAAAACCTTGATAGAAATAGTCAAATTAATATGGGTTATACTTCTGAAGATGAGAATTTCAAAATTTAATAATACATTGAAATATATTGCAATAAGTCATTGAGTCCTTTAATTTTTGTTGTAATATATAATTTAATCTTGCCACCTCATTTAACATAGTTTTCTTACGTGATTTGTATCATTAAGCACAAATTTGCGTTAAATGAGATCACAGACAATAACCAAAAGAATGACAACTGTCTAGAAATTCTAACAACTTTTAGTTACAATTTTTGTAAAAAGAGGTGATAAACTTTTTTAAGTTTAATAATCTATATTTTTATAGATATCAAAAGAGTTAATATAAGTCAAAATAAGTTATGAAGTTACGTTTAAGTGCATAAGTGGTCAATACTCTGTTGTTCACAATTCTCTTGTTACCTTTAACTCTGAAAAAAGTTTCTCTTAAGCCTAATGATTGTTAAAACTAAACAAGATTTTATTTTATAATTAAGGTTTAACTTTTTATTTATGTTGCATAAAATTAACTTTGAAATATTTTGATGCCAAAAAAGTTAAGCAAATTTAGGAAATGACCCTTTAATATTAATTGCAACAATACAATTTTTTAAAAAATATTTAAACCAATTACAGACAAAAGTTAATTTAACTTTAAATTGAGTTTTTTTTACACTCTTTAAAACCTTGAAAACCTGAAAAAGTCCTGGAATTTAATAAGTCCTGGAAAAGTCCTGGAAAAGCACTCCTTTTAGCAATAATTCCTGGAAATCCTAGAAAACGTTTCTGAAATAATTCAATATTTTTTAACCATGATTTTACCTTTTACAGCGTTATTATTAATTTTGCATGGATTTATATTGAGTTCGATAAATTCTGATATCAGAATTCTTTTATGCAAAACAAAAAAAAAAAGTTTAAAGTTACTGTCAGTATTATTAACGGCTACTAACTATTAAGTCATTTTTCATTTTCATATTTTTTTATAAATCAACATATTTTGTTTTTTTCTGGTCGAGAAAAGATCATTATATCCTTAAAAAACTTTTCCTTAAAAAAATTTTTCTTTAAAAGTCCTGGATATATCCTGGAATTTTGAATTAGCTATTGACTGGCCGCTCTGAATTAATATATTTTAAAAATAATTAGAAAAATTTCAGAAAAATTTACACTAATTTTTGTGACAGTTTAATTTGAATTTCATTAAAATATTTTGATAAATCTTTTTTTAAATTGGTTAATCTTTTTTTCAAAATAAATTGAATTTTCTCAATGAACTTTATTAAATAAAATATTAGAAATATAAAAGTTAAAAGAATAAGATAAAGATAAAAATTAAATAGATAATAATATATAACTAGATATTTTTTTAGAAAGTTTAGTTAGTAAGAAAAATAAGTACTGGAATTAATACGGTTGTAAATACAAAGTATTATGGATATTTTTTGAATTTGTTTTTAAAATGTAAATTTATGATTTTTAAAATTGTTTTTATTTAATTTACCACAGATTATAGATGTTAAATGTCAAGGAAAGAAAAAAAAACTATTAGTTCTCATGATGGGAGACCACCACAATTAACTTTAGGCGACTTTATGTATATTAAAAAATCAAACAAACAATCTATTGATAGCATACCAAATGTACCAAATAGTGCATTGAATAGTACAGACGCAGCTCAATATGAGAATATTGAAAATTTTAATGTAACAACTTCTACTGCAACTGTTAACGAGTGCAGTAGTGTTCTTAATACATGCAAGCTTTCTAAAGTTGTAGATAGTCATGTAAAAGTAAGTCATGAAGAAAATCAATGCAGCTTTTTTGTTTGCCAAACAAAAAAAGGAGGAGCACCTATAGAAGTTCAAAAACGTGCAAGCGGTAAAAAAGTAACTTTAATTGAAAATGTTTATGGAGATGCAAACAGTTTGCTAAATGATTTGAAAACAAAATTTGGCACAGGTGGTCTATGCCGTGCTAATGTAATTGAATTGCAAGGAGATTTTAAAGATAAAGTTATAAAATACTTGACTGAAAATAGAAGCTTAAGACCATATGGAAGCAAGAAATAATTTTTAAAATACTTAAATTTTTATGTATTTTTTTATCTTATATGCAAATATTTATTATATTGTTTAAAAAATTATTTAATTTTCTAGTGTATATTTTTTAATATTAAATGTAAATTTTATTACTCACAGTCTAGTCTAGTTTTATTTGGTATAAAAATGTTCTCCCATACTTAATTCTCATTCAATTACAATACAAACAAATCACTCAATTACAATAAAAATAAATCATTAAATAAATTTAAAGTTTAATTACTACTACAAATTACATATTTAGTTGCCTCTACTACAAGTAATTTTGATAAACTATAGAGATAACAGAGACAGAGCAAGAAGTATGGTAAACAATAACGACAACAGTGACAGTACTTAGCAAAATAAGTGTTAACAAAAGCGGCAGTTATAATATGACATTTTTTATGATTTAAATAAAAATTTTGTTATAATTTTGATTATTTAAATAAATATTTTATTGTTGATAAATGTTTTTAATAAGCTGAAATGTTATAAATAAAGTTATGTAATAAAAGTTAATATTGAGTTATATTGTTTATAGAGAGTTATATAAAAGGAAGTGAAATTTGATTTATGAATGGTGTTAAGTTTAAACATTGTGACATTTGGTTTTACCAATTGTTTTGATGTTTGGAGTGAAAAAAAGTTTTTTTGACAAAAGAAAATGAGATTGAGCAAATTAGGATTAAAATTCTGGTTGTAGATGTATTAACTAAAACAGCATTTTTCTAACATGTATATAGGAAGAGGGGTAGCGTGATCCAGTTTTCAGGGGTGTACTAATGAGATGTATTAAAAAACTTTTTAATTTTTTATTTGAAATAGTTATTAGCGTTAAATTAAAGTTATTGAATATGAAAAGAAAAACAAAAGAAACAAATGTTAGAGCCAAGCAAAAAAATGATTTACCAGAAGATTCAAGAAGAAGATCATCAAGAAAAATTGTGAATTATGCAGAAAACAATGAAGAAGAAAGTTCTGAATCTGATTTTGAGCCAGTAAGTAAAAAAATAAAGGCTACTAAAATAAAAACTCCACGAAAGAATAACACAGTGGCTATAAAACCTGTTTCGGAACCATCAACTAATGTTCAAATTTTAAATATAACTAACTTACATACTGCTCTAAACCTTTCAGAAGATGAAAGTTCTTCAGATGATGATGTCCCACTCTCAGCAATCAAATCTTGTATCCTCCCAAAAGTGAATGAGGCAAATAAACCTTGTATCCTCCCAAAAGTGAATGAGGCAAATAATTTTGAAGCTGTGAATAGCGCATTCTTTATCGAACCAAAAACAGAAATTAAAAATGAAATAAAAGAAACTCTTGAAGATAATAAAGTTTTAGATGATAAAAAAAATTCTTTGATCACTAAAAAAGCAGGCAGTTTAAAAAACAGCAAAACAAAAAAATCTATACCTATAGAGTCAATAGAATCAAAAAAAGTTCAAAAAACAGAAAACAACAACACCAAAGTATTAAGAGCTCGTAAAGAAAATAAAGTTTTAAAAATAGAAACTAGTAAGTCATCGGTTGAAATAAATAAAAAGAAAGTAAGCACTAGCTTGAAAGAAATCTCTGTGAACAGCTCAAAAGCGAATAATATGAAGTTCCAGAGCGATACATCAAGCTTAGCTGATAGTGAAGAAGAAAATTGGGAAGAAGTAGAGGGTAAGAGTGTTTTACTTACTTTCATGATCATTTGACAATTTGTAATGCAAACACAACGTACACTTTTGTTTAATTTTAAAGAAATTGAAGTAAAGTCCAAATCAAAGAAAATGAAAAAGGAAGAAATAAAAGAAGATAACATAAAGTTAAATGATCTCGAGATAAGCGTAGGAGTCTCTTCTATCCATAAAAAGTAATTTTTTTATGTGGAATTTTTTAGTATGATTTTAAATTAAAGTTTATAATTTGTTATATATTTAAATTATTAAAATTAAAGTTTATAATAATCTTATAATCATAGCAATGGAAATAAAAAAGATTTTGAAAATTAAAAAAAGTTAAAGTAAAGGTTTCAATGCAATTTTCAATGCAATGAAATAAATTACTTTTATTAAGTTTTTACTTTAAAATAAGTGTTTGTAAAAAGAGGAACAATTAAATAGTTATTTAAATATTTAAGTGTAATAGGAAATGTTGCATATTTATTTTATATAGATTAATTAAATATTGTTTATATAAAATAAATAATTAGTTATATAAATTAAATATTGTTTTCTGTTTAAAGATAAAATTTAAATAAAAAAATGAAAACATAAGCAACATTTTGTTGAATTTCATTTCAATTTCTTTTTCAGGAAGTTAACAAGACAAGAGAAATATCATAACTGGGTGAGACAGTTAATTGGTCGCTTTCAACGAGAGTTGCAGCAACATATTCATAAAATTCATCTATTATGTTTGTTTGCTTGTGAAATAAAAAGAAACATGGTTTGCAATATTAAATCTGTGCAAGTGAGATTTATTAGATTAAGTTATTTGAACATATTTTATATTATATACTCCATTTATTTTTATTTGTATTTTTCTTATATTCTACTATCTTACTCAATAGTTTTTGTTATAATCTAACTTCTTTTACTTTTACTAATCTTATTATTAGTAATCTTATTTTTTTACTATTGTTATTATCAGTTATTATCTTTTATTATTTTTTTATATTGTTTTTTTTTTTTTTTTTACTGTTATTATCATTTTTATTATTATTATTATTATTATTATTATGTTTAATGCTTGTATCTGAAAAAAATACCTATTTTTGTTTATTGCTTGTTTATTATTGTTGTTGTTGCTCTTATCTACTCATACTATGGTTGTCATGGTATATTTGATTAATTATGTTATGTTAGGTTTTATTAATTACCTGGATCTTTATAAATTTTATTTTGTTATAGAACCATTAACAACATTAAATTTTTTTTTTAGAAATTGCATTAGTTTACAATTATCCTAAATTTACAATTATCGTAAATATATATGAAAGATCTATTCAAGGTTACTTTTTTTAAAACAGGGTTTTAGAGCAGCTCCGGAGCTGGAGCCGGAGCTATCCGGAGCTGTTGATTTTACATGGAGCTGAGCTGGAGCTGGAGCTAAAATATTTCCTGCCAGAGCTGGCTTCCGAGCCAGCTCCACCCTTTTGATACTTTGAAATATCAAATTTCCATAATATTATTATTTTATATAAGATTTTTTGAAGAATTTAATTTTTATCCAATTATTTTATGTAATATGTCATGTGATTCTTATTATAGATTATGATAAGTTACTTTAAAACATTACTTTTCAACAATGTCAATGATCAGTTAAGGGGTTGTCCATAAAGTACATAAGCTTTTTTTTCATCTCCCATCCACTCTCCCCCCCTCATCCTGCATTTTGCTTTACACTTTTTTGAGTATCCTCCACCTCCCTTAAAGTACCTATCTTTTTAATCTACCTGCTAAACATTTTATAATATTTTTTTAAATTTAGTGTCTCTTTACTTTTATAATTGACCCCTCTCCCCTATTAGAGCGTACTTAATGTACACTCCTTTCTGTACGTACTGTATGGACAATCCTTAACGAAAAAAATACTTTAATCTATGTGTTAAGTTACATGATTTTTTAACGTTTTCAATTAGTTGAAACATTTTTAAAGTAGATTTAAACATGTGAATTCCAAATAAATTTAGGAAAAGATTTTAAACATTTTTTTTTTTGATATTATAGATATTACTTTTGTTTATACTATCTTTTTTATTATTTCTCTTATTTTAAAAAATTATCATTTACTTTATTTTCATAGTTTTTTATAAAAATAGCTTCAAACTCCTGAGAGGATCCTGATCCTGAGAGGTTTCTAGATTCAATTGATTTTCAATTGATAAAACTACAAAACTGATTACATGTAAGATTACAGAAAAGTCAAATGATAAAGTGATTTCATGCGCCATGCAAATAAAAAAATCAAAAGTTTTACAATATGAAACGGCATTTGGAAAAATCACATCTATCAGAATATAAAATTGTTGAATCTGTAATGAGCCTTATGGCCCAAAGAAAATCTTCAAAATTATTTTATCACATTCACAAGATTTCAATGCTAAAAAAACTAAACAAATTACTTTAGATTTTTTTGTTATTACTAGTAGTTGAGCAATAAATCAAGTTGGTGCTAAAGATTTTAAAATTGGAATTATTAAAATGGTAGTAAATAATGGAGATTTGTTGAAAACATTTGTGGATGAAGGATTTTAGTTGGTTACAGGCCAATTTGGAAAAACTCTTGGATTCACTACTGGACATAATTCTGTACGCAATTTGATTAATAAATTTGCTGAGAAAAAGTAAGCTGAAATAAAGGAAATATCGATACAGAATATTTATTTATGTTTTTTTTTTTTTTTTTTTTTATTCACCTCCCCAAGGCCCGAGGGGGCCACTACAGTTGAGGAGGCTACTCATTTTTTTTTTTTTTTTTTTTTTTTGTAAAAATGTAAAAATAGATGCAGCCACTCAACACCAAAATAACTCTTAAGAAATAAAAATTAAATTATTACTATGTGAAAAATTTTTTTAAAACTTAGGCACTAATAGATACACAAGGACAGCACAGTTGGGCAACGTATGTTTTTTTAAAAATCATACGAATAGCTAGCTGCAAAGTATGAATAACACAGCCCATCAATTTAATGTCAGTAGACAATTGTTGACACCATTCTGGGATAATAATTTTCTTCCTTCACTTTCTTCATTTCTTTCACCATTTTTTGATAGCACCCTATTGCTATCAAAAAATGGTGGAAGATACTCTATATAGATTTGGTATCAGCAATGATCAAGTAGTATGTGCAAGTGTAGACAATGCAGCCAATATGATTAGAGCAATCACAATTTTAAACAAATATTAGATGAAGCTTTGCATGATTAAGAACAAGTGGAATTTTTACAACAGGGTACAAATGAAGAAAGTGAAGGAAGAAAATTATTATCCTAGAATGGTATCAACAATTGTCTACTGACATTAAATTGATGCACTGTGTTATTCATACTTTGCAGCTAGCTATTCGTATGATTTAAAAAAAAAACATACATTGCCCAACTTTTAGCAAAAGTTTGTTATTTTGTAAAGATACAAGAAACTCACATACAATATTTTTAGCAAAGAATCAATACAAGGTTGTTTTTATTTTGGATAATGAGACACGCTGGGGTTCTACATTCCGTATAATTGAAAGATTACTACTTTTGCGTCCACTGTGTGAGCAATTTGCTGCAGTTGATCAGATATTCTTTCTACGCCCTGTAATATGGAATAAATCTTGTCATCTTTGCAATCTTAAAAAAGCCACATGATGTGACAGTTAGTCTACATTACTTCAGGAAAGTTCCTAAAGGAATAGCTGTAATTGAAATCTGACCTATATTTGAGTCAAGGACTATTTGCAGAAGACATTTCAAAATCTATGCAGAAACAAGTAAAAAACCTTATGATAATGATATATTTCTAGCTGCAATTTATGTTGATGCTAGATATAAAATACTATTAGAAGAAAACCAGATAATACGAGCAAAACAAGGCTTAAAAACAATAACAGAAAAAATTTATAAAAGAGATGCCTAAAATATAATATAAAGTCAAGAAATAAGAAATACTGCTGCGCTATCTACAGTACTTTTTTCAGTTTTAAGTGAATCTAATTCCAATGGAGTTTGAAAAGGAGCTTGATAAAAAAAGAAAAAAGGAGAAGTGTGACCTAAAATAATTTTGATCACACTTGTCTTTGGAATCAAAATTAATTTTGGTCACTTGTATACCAATCTCACAAGTAAGTGTAGAGAGGCTATTTTCTGCTTTTAAGTTTGTATCAAGCAATCTGCGTTCTTCACTCTGATATTTTAGAAACTTTATTTTTAAGGATGAATCAAGATTTTGATTAACAAAATATTAATAGTACTTAAATTACTTTCATAAAACATTAAAAAAAAAAATTTTGATTTTTTTTTGTGGAGCCGCTCCGTAGCTGCTCTCGAGCTGGAGCAGGAGCCAAAAATTCTAATGGAGCCAGAGCCAATTTTTAGACCTCGGCTCCAAAGCCCTGTTTTAAAAACAACTTCATATAAAAAAGTCTTAAATTATTTAATTACGCCAGTTGGTGAGCGATAACAGAAACTCAAAAGTATATTTTTATTTGTTTTTGCTTAATATTTCAAATTTGTCTCTTGTCATCAGAAGCAGTTAAGTCAATCCTTTTAATAAACTGCAGGTTTTCTTTTATATAAATAAAAATACTGCTGCCACGTTTTTTTGTTTTACGCTGTAGTGAAATAACAGTGAAACTTAATCTTAACTTAACAGTTATCCAAGTTTACAAATATTGTAATTTTATATATATTGTAATATATATTGTAGCTTACGATATATTTTGCGTGTACAATGATAGTTTTTTTCTGCAGGCCATTTGTTTGTCATTGGTTCCTTTGGAATTTACAAAAATTTTAACACGACAATGGAACATCAATCACTTGCGGAAGTTCATAGACTGGTATCAGAAAGAAATACCTTCTACTGAAGAACTGTTACTTTTTACTGACAAGGTAAAAGTGCTTTTAATTTATTTTTAATCTAGATGAGGCTAGCTGTAATTGACATTTTGAAGATGCTTACATCAAGGGTGGTGGTGTGGTAAAGCCAAAATCTTTTTATGCAAATGCTTTACTACCACTGAACTGATGTACATTGGTGTACACTGGTGGTAATTTTAAAGTTTTTAATAAAATTTTTCAGTAAAAGTATTTTATTTTGAAGTTGGTACATTATTTTATTTTATATTTTCAAACAAAAATCACTTTTCTCATAATTAGTTTATTGTTTTTGGTTTCTTTCTATAATCTCTACAAAATGCCTTGCTGCATACTATTTTTGCATATTTACTACATTCAAACATGATTAACATTTCATAATGATAAAAACATTTTTTTATATTAATGCTAATTATCAGATAATGAAATTTGATATAAAATATCTTGTAAGCTAATTCATATAACTTTTATTTTTTATTAAAGAACCTTTTTAAACCAGTTTTAATCTTCTTATCTCAGGATTTTACTTCTTTTTTAGGCAACACAAGTATTAAAACACATGCAAAGAGAATATGTAACTTTTTTATTTTTCATTGTATATGGTAAATAAGTAATTATATATTTTTTTACAAATGGTATACAATTGTTTTTAAAAATATCATATTTAATTTTAAATTTAGATTCTTGTAATCATGTTGCGATCTCTTGGATTTTTGTCCCGAATAATTTGTTCTTTACAAGTAAAATAAGTTTTGTTTATTTTTATTTTTATGTTTAATTCAAAGATTTTCTTCTTGTTGTAGTGTGTTCTTTGTTTAGTTGTAGTGCAGACTAGTGCAGAGAATCCCCGCTCCCTAAAATTGAAAAAGAATTATAGTTCAATTCGGATCTCCTCCTCTCCATGAAATAGTTCATATACTTTTGATCTACCATCCCTGTATTAAAAAAAAAATTGCACTGTGGAAAAAAAAATTGTAAACATTTTCTATAAAGTTAAATAAAAAAAATTGTACCTTTTTATAGTTCATCTTATGCTTTTTTCTGATAAAAATTAAATTTTAAAAAAGGGTGGTGTTAGGTGGTAATTTTTGAAAAAAAGTAAATTTATAAAACAGTTTTTTTTAGAGCCTTTATTTATTTGGATGATCTTGTTTATGAAATGTCTAGATGCATATCACATGCATTTCTTAGTTTTTTAAGAATAATTCCAGTAATATATATATATATATATATATATATATATATATATATATATATATATATATATATATATATATATATATATATATATATATATATATATATATATATTATATATATATATATATATGTATATATATATATATATATATATATATGTATATATATATATTTATATATATATATATATTATATATATATATATATATATATATATATATATATATATATATGTATATATATATATGTATACATATATATATGTATATATATATATATATATATATATATATATATATATATATATATATATATATATATATATATATATATATATATGTATATATATATATGTATATATATATATATATATATATTTATATATTTATATATTTATATATATATATATATATATACATATATATGTATATATATATATATATGTATTTATATATTTATATATTTATATATATATATATATATATATATATATATATATATATATATATATATATATATATATATATATATATATATATATATATATATATATATCAGGGTTGAAAAAAACCCAGGGTTTTTTAAAAAAAACCCAACCCAAATGGGTTTTATTGGGTTTTATGGGTTTTTTGGGTTTTTTTAAAAATCGATCAAAATACCAAATTTTTATAATTGTATGAGTACAATAATTTTTTTTTTTAATTTCATAAATTCACCTCCCTATTGCTCCAATGACCATTTCAGTCAAGAGAGAAACTCATTTTTTAAAAATATTTTATCTCAATCCTTAACATTACTATTTTTACTAACAAACAACATTAACAACTAAAATTTTTAAACAAAGGCGTTGTGCGGAGAAATAGATTGAGACAGAGGTAATTTCAGCAGAGGTAATTTGAACCCCAACCTTCTGGTTGCGAGCCAAATGTTTTACTACTAGTCTACTGGCAGATTTTACCTATAGTGCAAAAAGGGACTCCATTAACTATAAATGATGTTAATTAATTGCACTAAATCAAAAACATGTTCAGAATATTTTTGACTAAAAAAAATCAGTGTAAAAATTATTATGATAATTGAATTATTCAAAGTTGTTAAAACAATATAAATGTTGCAAACTAGTTTTTTTTACTAACATGTTCAACATATCATTTCAAAAACTATTTTGCACAAGTTTACAACATGTAATCAACAAATTTGCAACATGATGTTGCAACCTTATAAGTTATTATCCATCAGGATGACTATGAACACTTTTTAAACATTTTTGTATCATAGAAGAAAACTGCTAGCCTAATCTCTACATTTTTTTTTATCAGAACATTATACTGTCCAGCTTCCTGGAAAAGTTATCGGCCTGATCAACTGGACTGGAAAAAAATTGATTTTTGCCTAAACTTTGGTTCTTAAAATATCTAAAATAAATTTGTTAAGAACCATTACAGTGTCTTCGCCACCAAGTTTTTTTTTTCCCTTGAAGATGTTTTACCGGCTAAGTTTTGCAATGCAAATTGCAAACTGAATCAAAGTAACACATTATATAGCTCTATTGTGTGTGTTTCTTCACCTTTTAGCAACTTGATACTGATGTCAATTTTCAACCCGCTGTTCATAGTCACCCCTGTTGGTGGTACATGTTGTAAACTTGTAGCTGATGCAAAATATTCAAAACCTGTCAAAAGACAGATGAGCACGAGTGTCATTTTTACCAACAAATCTTGTCCTTGTGAAATGCATACAAGTTTTCAACATGTTCTCTGAATGAGCAAACATGTTGCAAACTTGCTTGCACATAACTTAATTTTTTTTAAGTTTTGAAGTTGTATGCACTTAAGGACAAATCTAGTAAACTGTAGCATTTTTTTTTGCCTGACAACTTTCCATTTCTAAACTGTAAATAAAGTTTAATAATTTTTATATATAGTATTTTGATTGTGGCTTTGTACTGAAATTTGCAGTTTACAACATAAGCTTTAAAAAATAAAAGATCAAATACCAATATAAAGGAATATAGACATTCAAGAGGAGAATAAAGATACTAAATAACTAGTAATGTCTTGAAATTTAGTTAATAGAATGATTTTTATTTTCTTTATAAGTATTTAACTAATTTAATGTTTTAATACTTATTTCAATAACATTTATAATAACTTGCTAAATGTTTTGAAAAAATAATAAATAACCAACTTGCTACAAAAACAGATAGATCGGTTTGGGGTATATTCTAAAGACCATTATGTATATAAATACAGTGTTTACAAGAGTAAACACTGTATTTATATACATTTGTATTTATATACAAGAGGTTGCACTTGCTGATAATAAAGCATTTATAAGTGTTAAAATCAGAGTTATTAGTTGTAAAATAGGTCATTTTTAAAAAAACCCAAATATATTTTGGGTTTTATTGGTTTTTTTAAGGTGGGTTTTTTTGCCAACCCTGATATATATATATATATATATATATATATATATATATATATATATATATATATATATATATATATATATATATATATATATATATATATATATATATATATATATATAGACACACACACACACACATATATATATATATACAACCCTCGGAATTAAAAAAATTCCCAGGGTTGTATATATTATTCCCAATTAAAGCGCTGTTATTAATTTAATAATATAACAAAAAAACTGTTAAAGAACAGTCATTAAGACTGTTCTTTAACAATTTTTTTGTTATATTATTGCTTATTTAAAACAATTGCAAAATGAGATATTATAAAATGTGAATGAGCAATTTAACTTTGAAAAGGCGCCTAATCTAAGAAATGATGCATTATTGAATTCTACTGATATTTCAATTATGTAAAAGTTTTTATAAGTTTTTTCAAGAAGTCAAAAGATGGAGATTACAATAATGAAAAGAAGCTTAAAAAAAAGTTTAGTTATATCAAAATGGGATAAGTTGGTGGAGCGAATTTTTTTTTTTTATAGAGTGAATAAACTCTCATTGAAAAAAGATTTTGTTTTACAAAGTAAGTCAAAGTATGTTTGACTTACTTTTAATGACTTATAATTGATTACTCCAAACGCCGTGGACAAAAAAGCAAAGAAAAGCTGGCAGTTTTAAAAATTTGATTATAAAAGATTTTACAAAGATGTTTTTTTAGAGGCTGAGATCTCATTGATGCAATAGTTAAAAAGAACATTAAGAAGATATACATTTAAACATTAACGTTATGATCATTCAAATTATTCTAAAATAGAAGCTTGAAAATAATAACTTGAGCGGTTTCTCGGTGGCTCCTCCTGGTCCTCCTCAAGTTTTCTGATTCTTTATTCATTATTCGTTTTTTAAACTATATCTTTATTTGTATTTTTTTTCTTTTTATTTCTATAACCGTGGAAAAATGAAAACCAGAATAAGCTGATGTTTTTACATCTAAATGGCTGGAATATTTCTTAGATTTAAACGGGAAAGTTAAATCATTGACTTGCCAGTTCTGCCGGATATTTGAAAACAAGATTAAGTGCATGGATAAATTGCATTATTCAGGGTTCAACTAATTTTAAAAAATCTGCTGTTAGCGATTATGCAAAGTCTTGTAAATCCCATGCATATGCTTGCAAACTATATTATGAATATAAAAAATGATCACTTATTAGGACTATATATATAAGAATTTTAATTTCTTCCAGAATTTTTTGTAAATTATCTTGTTATTTGCTTTAAATTATTTCTGAATTTTATCAATTATAAAATTTAAAAACAACTTCAGAATAGTCTGCATTTATTCAAGTTATTCAATTGTTCAATTTAAATTTCAAATTAAATCCTTTTTCAAATTGCATAATCCAAGTTCAACCCTATCCCTGACAAATCAAAGGGCAAGACAAATGGCTAATGTGTTAGGTAATCAAGATATTATTTCTGGTATAGCAGTTATGGATAGAAAGAAATTAAGAAAACTAAGAAAAAGTTTGAAGTTGCATACTTTATTGCAAAGAACAAATTACTATTTACAAAGTACACAGAAATATTACAGCTTGAAAAAATGCATCGTGTTGAGCTGGGAGAGGCATATTTTAGCAACGTCAAATGTGCAGAATTTATAGATTTTATTGGTGTAGATTTAAAAGAGAAATCATTATTTGATTCCTCAAAATCTAAATTTTTTGGGATATTATGTGATGGATCAACGGATAGTGCAACATTAGAAGATGAAGTTGTTTATCTAACTTATTTCGACCCTGAACTTGTGGGAAGTGATGAAGGTCAAGTGAAAACAATCTTCATAGGCTTAAGAAATTTAAAAAATTCTTCAGTTACTGGTGTATACAATGCAATTGCAGATTGCTGCAAAGAATTATCTAACGAATTGGGAATGGAAGAGTTTGAAATTAAGGTTATAGGTTTTACTTCTGACAGTGCTTCAGTTGTTCTGACAGTGCTCCAGTTGTTCTGACAGTGCTTCAGTTGTTCTGACAGTGCTTCAGTTGTTCTGACAGTGCGTCAGTTGTTCTGACAGTGTTTCAGTTGTTTT